GTCCCTGTTCCCTGGGAGCAGAGCCAGACCCCCCCCGGCTCCCCCCTCCTGTCAGGGATTGCAGAGCCAGAAGGTCCCCCTTGAGCCTCCTTTTCTCCAGGCTGAGCCCCCCCAGCTCCCTCAGCCCCTCCTGCTGCTCCAGCCCCTTCCCAGCTCCGTTCCCTTCCCTGCACACGCTCCAGCCCCTCAGTGTCTCTCTTGGAATGAGGGGCCAGCCCTGTCCCAGCCCTGGAGATGCCCCAGCAGTGCCAGCACAGGGATGGGCACTGCCCTGGTCCTGCTGCCGCACCACGGCTGGGACAGCCCAGGTGGCTCCTTGGCCAGCTGGGCACACACTGGCTCTTCCAGGTCCTTTCAAAGAACCATGGAATACCCTGAGTTGGAAGGGACCGACAGGGATCATCCAGTCAAACTCTTGGCCCTGAACAGACACCCCAACAATCCCCCCTGTCCCTCAGAGTGTTGTCCAAAGCCTCCTGGAGCTCTGGCAGCCTTGAGGCTGTGCCCACTGCCCTGGGGAGCCTGTTCAGTGCCAACCAGCCTCTGGGGGAAGAACCTTTCCCTGAGATCCAACCTGAGCCTGCCCTGACACAGCTCTAACCAATGCTCAGGTCTTGTCACTGGTCACAAACTGGAGTTGCCCCTTTGCTGCCCCTCGTGAGGATGTTGAAGGCCCCAGTGAGGTCTTCCCTCAGTCTCCTCCAGCTGAACAAACCAAGTGCCCTCAGCTGCTCCTCACACAGCCCCCTCCAGACCCTTCCCCATCCTCGTGGCCTCCTTTGGATACCCTCTAACAGCTTCATGTCTTTCACATTATGGTGCCCAAACTGCCCCAATGTTGAGGTGAGGCCGCCCCAGGGCAGAGCAGAGCAGGACAATCCCCTCCCTGATGCCCCCAGGGCACAGCTGGCCCTCCTGGCTGCCAGGGCACTGCTGACTCAGGGCCAACTGGCACCCACCAGCATCCCCAGGTGTCTTCCCACAGCTGCATTCCAGCCTCTCATTCCCCTGTCTGTCCATACATCTGGGGTTGCCACATCTCCAGGGGCAGAATCTGGCCCTTGCCCTTGGCAAACTCCACATGGTCGGTGGTTGCTCATCTCTGATCTGTCCAGGTCTCTCTCCTTTCCAGGGAGTCAACAGCTCCTCCCAGTTCAATGTTGTTGGCCAAGTTACTCAGTATCCTTCAAGTTCTGGGGTGAGGTCAGGTCAGGTTATTGAAGCTGAAGAGCACAGGACTAAGAACAGAACCCTGTGGAACCCCACTAGTGACCAGTGTCACCTGCTGTCACCCCAGTCCCTGTCACCCTTTGTGCTCAGCTGCTCACCCAGCCTGTAACAGTTACCCAGCTGTGGGCTGAGTTTGTCCAGCAGGATCCTGGGAGAGACAGTATGGAAAGCTTTGCTGAAGTCCCAAAAGATTCCATCTGGGAATCTGACATTGCCCTGTCCCAGAAGGAAATCACATTGGATAAGAAGGTTTTTCCCCTGGCTGCAACCAGTTGTCCTCCAGGTGTTTTTCAGTACTTCCCAGAATAATCTTTTCCATGATTATCCCGGGCACTGAAATGAGACTGACAGGCCTGGAGTTTCCAGGATCCTCCTTCTTGCCCTTCTTGAACATGGGGAAAACATTCTCCAGATTCCAGTCAGATGGAACTCCCTGGATTCCCAAGACCACTCAAAAACCATGGAGAGAAGTTTTGTGATGACATCAGCAGCTCCTTGAGGATTCTGGGATGAATCCCAGCAGGCTCCATAGTTTTGTAGGGATCCAGCTGGAGCAGCAGATCCCCCAGGATTTCAGGCTCCACTTGGAGTTGATCATTTTGCAGTCACAGTCCTGCAGCTCAGGGCACTGAGGCCTCCTTGGTCCATCATCCATGTTGAAGATGGAGACAAAGAAAGGGTTAAACCCCTCTGCCTTGTCCCTGTCCCTGCTGGTGAGGTGACCACCCTCATCCTGGGACAGGAGGACCTCATTTCTACACTGCCATTAATACATTTGAAATCTTCTTTCCCAGCTGGCAGCTCCCCAGCCTGTGCCCCAGCCTGTGGCTTGTGGGGGGCTGTTGTGCCCAAGTGCAGAACCTGGCACTTCACCTGAATCACCTCTGCCCACCCAGAGCACCTCTGGCCTTGCCCAACCCCAGGGGGATCAGGAACCACAGAGCTCTGCCCGTGGAACACCCTGGAAGTGGAGAGGAAAAGCAGTTTCCCGAGCTGCCATCAGTTGTCTTCAGGGGCCACGTGTCTCTGAACTGCCCCTCCAGACCCTCCCCACACCAGCTGTCCCCTCCCCAGGCAGCCAAGGCAAAGGCACCAACTCCAAGAGACTTTTTGGGAAGCTCATCCCTCAAACCAGCCCCTGCAGGCACAGCCTGAGGTGTCAGAAGGGTGTCATGGCCCCCCATGACCCTTCCCACCACCCAACAGCTTCAACCCCAAATCCTGCCACCTTCCCAGCAACCAGGGGGAGGTTGGCTGGTGGGGGGGGAGGAGGAAGAAGAAACACTCCACAAAAACAATTATTAAAAAGCAAAGTGTGTGGCCACAGCCGCTGGTTTAACTTAAAAACACTTCATGTGGCCCAGAGGCTTCAAAAAAACCCAAGAGTTGGTGGCTCTCATCCCCCCCACCCTGACCCACCCCCTCTTAAAATTCCACCAAATCAAAGTTTCACGTTCCACAGAGTTTCCCTTTTTGTGGTGGTGGTGGTGGCCTTGTTTGTGGGTCACTGTGGGGTTGTTTCCCCCTGTTCTTGCTTCCTCTTTTCCTCCTGGCCCTTGACGTGACCCCAGCACTTCCCACAAAGCCCAGCACACACCAAGGGACACACAGAGGTGACACTCCAGGGTCCCTTCTCCCGCTGGGACAGTGTCTGGGATAGAGAGGGAAGAGGCCAACAGCTCCTGCACAAGGGCCTCCTCGTTGCTGCCCTGTCCTTGCCATGGCCTCCCAGATCTTGCCCACGGGCACAGGGAGGGGGCAGGGGACAGCGAGCACACCAGGTGGAACGGGCAGGAGGCTGAAGAGACGCAGGCCAGGAGGCAGCTGCTGGATGAATCCCAGGTGAGGAACCAAGGAGGAGCCTCCAGCCGTGCTGAGTGGGGAGAAGAATCCCAGGAAACAGAAGAGTTGGGGACAAGAGAGGAGGAGCAGTCCCGAATCCACAGTTTCCCGCGCTGTGCCGGCGGGGCTCCCCCAGCAGGCACAGGCTGCTCACAGTTAGCTCGGCCTCTCTGCTCCCACAGTCTCTGCACACAGAGGGGCTCGGGGCCCCTCAAGCTCACATCATGACATGCCGCCGGCGGTGGAGGGCCAGGTGGTCGGAGCGGGAGAAGCTGCGGTCGCAGTCCGAGCAGCGGAAGGGTTTGATGCCCGTGTGCTTGCGGAAGTGCCGCGTCAGCTCGTCCGAGCGGGCGAACTTCCAGGTGCAGCCTTCCCATGTGCACTTGTAGGGCTTCTCACCTGGGGGGGCAGGGCACAGAACAGTCAGCGCTGCCACAGCAACACCCATGTGCCCTCCAGCCATTCCCAGGGAATGACATTTCCTTGGCGCCTCCGAAGAGCCACCGCTGAGCCCAGGGACGGACCACACGTGGCCCCGGCTACCAGCACCCCAAAAGGGCCAGCACAGAGCACAGGAGAGACAAAGGTACCCTGGCATAGGGTGCCAGCACCTTGAGCCCCCAAAGGGACTCCCCAGTCTCTGGCAGAGGATGCCAAAACGCCTAAAGGGACACCCCTGAGACCAGGGATGGACCACGCACAGCCTTTGGTAGCAACACAGGGCCCAGGCGCCCCAAAGGTACCTAAGGTGGCCACCCTGAACCCTGACAGAGGGTGACAGCACCCTGTGTCTACAGAGGGCTCCTCCCAAGAGCCCCCTATGACCCCAGAGGAAAGCCCTCAGCCCTGACACAGCACTGTGAGCCCCTAAAGGGCCTCTCCAAGGGCCCTTCTCCGTTTTTTTCAAAGGGCCCTGCACCCCCTTAAAGGCCTCCCCAAGCCCCCAAAGTGTCCCCTAGCTCTGGCACAGAGTGTCAAGACAGCAAAAGGTCACCCCAGAGCCCAGACATGACTCTCCATCACCCTCTCAGCCCATCCCTGGGTGCCCCCAGCCCACGGGGGTTCTGGGGACACTGCTCCTGCTCCCACCTGTGTGTATCCTCCGGTGGGCTTTGAGGTGGGAGCTCTTGGTGTAGACCTTGTTGCAGCCCTCAAAGTCGCACTGGTGGATGCGCCGCTTCTTCAGGTCGGGGGAGTCAGCCCTAGGCCCCCTCACCGCCGGCCTGCAGGAGGAGGGAGGGCTGGAGGCACAACCCTGGCACCCCTGGCCTCTGTGGGGCACCCAGGCAGCACAAACAGGGAGGGGAGGCACAGACAAGGCAAGACTCACTCTCTCTGGAGGTCCTGGAACGGGGCTGGGCCACTCTCCGAGGCGCTGTCCTCGCTGTCGCTGTTCATGTCCATGGGGAACACGGAGCCTGGGTCCATTTTCACAGGTGGGGTCCGGGATAGGAGAGCTGCTGGCACACAAAGAGGGAAGGGGTGAGGCTGCTGACCACAGAAAAGGGACACCCCCAAAATCGCTCACCCCTGCAGAATCAAAACTACCATCCTCCTGCTCCTGCAGGGCTCCAAACATTCTCCATCCCCCCATGGAATCAAATCCAATCAGGCACATGGAGAAGTGCCCAAGGCAGGAAAAAACTTGGGGGGCACCCTTCTGGCTGCCTGCTCCTGCCCAGAGGAGGGCACATCCAGGGAACGTCCTGGGAAAAGGGATTGCGGGGGGCACAGGGAGCAGGTGAACTGAAACCAGAGCTGCTGGCAGCGGGCAGCCAGTGGGAGGGGCGGGCAGGCTGCCAGCAGCAGCATGGGTGGAGGACAGGCAGTGCCATGCCCTGCGTGTCCCCGCCCTACCCGTGTCCCCTGAGGGGCACAGGCTGGGGGCTGAGTGCGAAGGTGGCACACAGTGCATGGTAGCGGGTAACACCCCACAGTGGAAAAACTTGATTCCTTTAAAGAGTGAGGTGGGACAGATGCCCCTCCCACCCCTCCCCCCCAGATTCCAGGGCCGCCCTTACTGGACCCCGCGTTCTTGCCGTCGCCCCCAATGAGGGGAACGGTGATGGCGGTGACGCCGTCGGTGGGCACGGTGGTGTAGACGACGGGCAGCGACTGCACCACCACGGGGATGGTCTGCAGGTTGCCCATCTTGCTGGGCAGGTTGACGGATGGGATGGTGTGGATGACATGCAGGATCTGCTGCCCACCGCTGCCCTGCGTGGATGCCAGGATGGAGCCGGGCGACAGCACGGCCGGGATGGCCGACGTGGAGCTGAGCCCCGAGGGCGGCATGGACACGGTGGCGGGGGCGGGCAGCGGCGGGGCCACCAACACGGGCGAGGACTGCACCGAGGAGGGGGGGACAGGCGGTGGCGGCACCGCCGCCGCCGAGGCAGGAGCCGCCTTGGACTTGTTGAGCGAGAGATCCACGGGCTCAGCCTGGGGCTGGCTGCAGTCGCTGGCCAGCAGCTCCTCGGGGGGCTCCGTCTTGATGTCCGCCAGCAGCACCGGCGGGTCGAGGGGGCCCTCTGCCAGCAGCGCTGACGAGCTCATGGCGGGCGTCGCCTTCCCCTGAGAGAGAGACAGAGAGAGATGGCGTGAGGGGAAACTGAGGCACCAACCGAGCGAGGGAGGCGGGGAAGGACTGGGCGCCTCAGGCGGCGCCGGGGGCCGGGCGGAGCCGTGAGGGGAGGGCGGGAC